CAAGAAGCCCCCAAGGTTGGCGCGACTAGTTGGTAAATGGGTGTCCTTGTAAGGTGTCCCTTTTGAAGCCATTTGAAAAGGGGTACTCTTCGAGAGAGCCACGCCACGCAACGGCGCAACGAAACGGGTTCTCCTTGACACGCCCAAAACAGGCGTAGCAAGCCTCAAGCAGCCCGTGATAGCCCGTGTGCGCGAACACTTGCGTGCGTCGATCGCCAGGGCTCCAGACCATTCTGCGGGTGCAGAACCTGGACCTTGGCCAGGCGTGGGAGATGCGTTTGGAAGGTTTTCTAGGTCCCCCAGCTAGGTGCCCTTTGTAAACCCTTTTTTGGTTCGGAGGGTTCCCCAACTAAAATAGACTATGCAGGAAAAAGTTGGTGCCCTTTTTCTAACCTCTCTACTGGAGGACCTAGCTTTGGATGTGGATGAGTGCGAAATGGCCGTGGTTGTCAACACCAATGGGGTCCCATTTTCGTGGTTTTCGGAGCACCACCCATTTTAGTCTACGTTAGTGGGGATGGGATGTTGGATTTTGACCCATGGCCAAGTTCATGTCGCTTGGAAATCGTGAATCCATAAGGTTGGATGGTATTTATAGAGGAATGCGGATCGTTTCAGGGATTCTTAGGTGGTGCAGGATTTCGTCCATCCACAGTATGGCCAGGTGAATCGGATGGGTTGGTGTGGATTTGTTTTGGACTTGAGCGCGTTTCCTCCAGATGACTGGTTTCGGAGCTCCATATGGTTGGCTCATGTAAGCCGGATCTGGTTCGGGAGGGTAAGTGGGAAACCGCCCCAGGAACACCTACCTCCAAACCACCAATGCAAAAACCACCAATCCAAATTAGAAGGAAGCTGAGTGTGTGTCACCGATTTCCTTTTGATCCCACTTTATGTAAAGTTAACAAAGCTGCACGGTGTCCTGCGTATTTAAACCAGTTCTGTTCAGCCAACGCCTTGAACAGACATCCCTAGCCCCCAAGAGGTCCCTGCTTCTCCGAAATGGCATTGGCCAACTGGGCCTTGACATCTTGGTCATTGGTTTAACATGTCTGGGGTTGCGTGCAGCAAGCCCCCTTTTGGGGGTGTAGACATCAAACGGACCATGCGGATCTCGCCGGTCAGATTTAGACCCTCCCTCCGGGCGAACGTTTGGTTTCCGAGCGCTCTGAGTGATTGGGGCACCTCCTTCACTTGGAGCGCTTCTCAAAGGAATCGGTGCCCCACACGTGGTTTCAACTTTTGGTTTCCCTTTAAAGGCCAACCAAAGGGGGGTTCCACTGTCTGTTTTTTGTGCAAGAATCGTCGCTCCGTTGTTTTTTTTTTCTCGGCCCCTTTTGGGGCGGATTCCGGATTCAACAGAGCTCCAGGTGAACCGTGCGGAGGCGGCGGAGCTGGGGGTGGGCGGCAAGGGCCAGAACGCCGCAAAGGCTGGGCGGGGGGTTGGGGGATTTTTGGGTTCGGAGCCGAGAACGCCACATGGCGCAATTTGAAAGGGCTCGGTTTTGCCTTGCTGCTTCCAAGAATTAGCTCCCCTTTTGGCACTTGTCCAACGTGAATTGACCTTTTGACCTTTGGTTCCCTTGTCTTGCCCGGTTTTTTCCTGACTCTAAATCACATCCGATTCCAGGCAAATAGGTGTGGGGGACGTAAGAGGGGATTGCCAAAAAGTTCATGCTTCCCCCTCTGGATGTCAAACCACCCTTTCAGGGAACTAAGGCCCCCTAAGTCCTGCTGATCGGGTCTAACCGCCTGCCATACAGTCCATGGCAGGGCCCTCCGGCGTGCTTTTGAATGTTTCCACTATCCAAACTGCCAATTCATCTTGGCTCCAGAAACGAGCAAATCAATCCTGTTACCTTCGATTTGCTCAAGAATAGTTTTTTTGCTTTCTTCTGTTGGTTGTATTTGTATATTTTCGGGAAACTTAACCTGAAGCCAGTGTCCCCTCCAATTTTTGGTCTGGAAACTTAACCTGAAGCCAGTGTCCCCTCCAATTTTTGGTCTGAGTCCCAAACAGGTGGCCCGAAGCCCTCAAAGAGAGCCTTCCCACGGGACAGGCTCAGAGAACGCAGGGCACCGGTGCTCCAGGAGCCTACCGGCCGCATGGCCTTCGTGACAAGAAGAAGTGTGAGAAAAAAAGAGGAAAAACACCGCGGCCACTGCGCATCATGCATATTTTTTACCTGCATCTCTTCCAGGTAAGGTACATGATCTGACCTACAAAGAAGAAGCGCTTCTTTATGACAGTTTCGTCAACAGCCTTAGTAAGCGCCTCAGGCGGCCTTTCCAGCTGCAATTGTCCACAGATAAACAAAATATGCTCCACGCCTACGTCCCTCCCGGAGCACCATGGGCATGGGAAGTGTGGTGACCAATGGCTGCGAGCTGTCGAAAATCGGAAAAGGGAAGCACCAAGTCAAGGAAACATAAAACCACACTCGGGCGTGCGCCCACATTCTTTTGGTCAGGATGATTGACTGAGCAAAGTTCAGGAAGGCACGGTGGAGCCCATTCCACGGCGTGCCGGGTTGCACCCCCGCCGTGTATCGCAAGGTCCACTTCACTTATCCTCAAACCTTAGCTCAAGCTGCGGCAACACCACGTCGCGCTTCCAGGCCAGAACCGCCCTTTTGCCCGCATCATGGTCAGGCTGTTGCAGCAATCGCATGGAGACAGTGTGCTCGCAGAAATCAACTCGTACCCCGTAGCTGTCAGAAACTTGCTGCGCGTGCGCCGTCCAAGACGAGCCCTTTCCCCGAAAGGAAACAAGAAAGGGTACATGCATCAAGCAGCTCTTGCCCCCCTCGCCAAGTGACGCTCCGGGGCAACCCAGCAAGTCCTTGCATACCAGGTATTGTGCCTGGTCAAGTCGCCTGGCCACAGCTGCCCAACCGTTCACGTGGCTCGCCGCCGCTGCCACAGCATGAAGCGCCGATGGTTCTACACGGCTGTAAAGTTGCTCAACCTGCTGAAAGAGCCCCATTGCATGGTCTCGCATAGTGGCTATCAATACCTGAGACTCTTTGACAAACCGAGCACAGCATTCCGCCAACAAGGGCTCGAACGAGAGGTCTTTGTCTACCAAAACCCCCAAGACGGAAAGGCAGTCAACCGCCTTCGGCGTGGACCAAAAAGGGCTGGGTGGCAGTGGGGGGTCAGAGCACGTGCATCCCACTGGCATGACGGCAGCTCCCTTTGCGCCTTCTGCGAACTTATGCCTCCACAGGTTTTCAAAAAGGTGATCCGCTTGACAGGCCATACTCAAACTAAAGGTGGTGGAGCTCAATGAGAAGACATCATCAACGTACTGAAACAAACCCACCTTGTGTGGTGCGTTGAGCTCGAGCGCCACAAGTCTCTCGCTGATCGTGAATTCACTAAACTGCGACCCAGAAGGCTCACCAGCTGCGGTATTCTTGACCGCTTTACAAGCGAGCGGCGAGGCCCAGGGGCGCATGAACCCCTCTGCTGCAAAATCCAGACGGGCTTCAGGAACCACAGCGCCCGCGAACAAGCGGGGCACGCCCAGCCCGACCCCTGGAGTTGCTTTGTAAAGTTCTGCCAGGCCCTGGGTGAGCGTCCCAAAAAGATGCACGGAAGTCGCCTTTCCCTGCCCAATCCCAAATTGACAAAGAGTGCGCATCGGGCTTAGCAAATGGGACAATTTAATCCGGAAACGGTCATTGCTGAAGACAGAGTCTTGCAACAGCCAATCCCGCCCTTGCACCCCAGCCTGAGCTAGTTGGTATAGGCAACCATCCCTCCAGCTCAGATCAAAGCCTTGTAGCAAATCAGCCTCTTTCACCAGGGTCGGCAGCTTGCTATCCATTCTCAGCTGCAGGCATGTTACGATGGACAGGGCAAGCAACAAGGAGTCGGTTCTGCCGCCGTGCTGCTCAGCATCCATGGACATTTCCAACGCGGATTTATTTCGCCACAGCCAGCATGCATCAAAAATACACTCCAAGGGGCAAGTGGAAGCAATGGGTCGGAGGTTCTGCAAATTGCGAACTATCACAGGTCCCTTCTTCCTGATAGGCGTGATCTCTCGGAACCATGAGCTTGGGACCAAACAAAGGCAGGCGCACAGGTTGACCATGGCCCAGGTGACCATTACGCCTGCGTCAACCTTTGCCCTCAAAACCGCCCGTGGCAACCTGGCAGATGTGGTTATAGCTGCTGGCAGAAGTCGCTCACGACCTGTAAGGAGGCGAGCTCTGCGTCATCGCTCGCTGTGTCACTCAACGATTGCGCACGCCACTGCTTGATGAAATGCTGGACTTCTCTTGTCCACTTTGGGTCTCCCGCCCCAACTTTCTTGGAGCGGCCGAGGATGTCGTCCTCGATCAAACGCATCTCTTCGCGTTTAGATAATTCTTCTCCTGTGTCAGGGTTGCGGAGCCCCAGCTGCAGAGGTATCTTGGGCTTGATAAGCGAAGAAAGGTACCTTTGCGCTTCAGCTTTGTTGCTGTGAAAAAGCCGCTGCATCTTCAAAAGCCTGGGGGTGGAAAATCACGTTGATCAATTCGGAGTTCTCATTCGGGCTTGCCCTTCCCAACCGATCGCGCCTGGGCGCCATCCAGTGCCTGAGCTCTTAGCGTTGTCTTTTTTGTTGGTTTACTGGCAGTTTTCTCCATTTCCCCCCTGTGGATGGACGAAATCCAGTTCGCATCACCTGAGAAACCGTGGGAAACCGGGATTTGTTTTGGTGTTTACAATGAACTCAATCTTCCAGACTATTTCTACTCGCGGACTTCAAGGGGTAGCCACGCCCATCGTTTGGCCCAGGCCCGTCGGGGGCTTCTCAGCCAATGTCACTTTGGTGAATTTTGCTTGGATGTCAGGACTTTCACTTTTTGCCAACGAATGGGTTTTCCGTATTAAACCACCAAAACTTTAAAACTTTTAGCAGGGGAGCAGAAAGCAACCGAGTTTTATGGGTTTGTCTTTCTTCGGGGGTCTAGACAGGGAAGTGAGGTGGTTTGGATTCCTCAAGGTGTGTTTTGGTTTGCGTCTTGGGGCGCCCAGCTTTTGGTTTTCAAGGGAAGCCACGGGGAAACTTTCTGGGTTTTTTAGTGGGAACTGATGTGAAAACGCAGCCCCGACTGAGCGAGGCGGCCAAGCGCTGGGCCGCGGCCTTGAAGCAGCCGCTGGAGGCGGGTGGGTGTGACCCCCGGCTTGTTCTGTGGATGCCAGCGGGGGAATGGCCCCTACGTGCAAAGCAAGAGCGCCCCTTTCCCCTTTGCCATGCCCCGAAAACAGAAAGAAAGATCGGCAGATGTGAATTTGTGTGTGTGTGTGTGTGTTTGTTGCTTGGTTTGGTTTGGTTTGGTTTCGTTACCCGGCACTTGGGGTCAGACTGTAACTTGAATCAAGTTGTTGGGAATTCCCCGCTCGTGGGTGTCAGCAATTCAGCGCAGGGCCCGCAGCCCGGCAAAAAGTTGCCCCAGAGGAATCTGGAATCGGGTTGAGCCGCTCCTTCGGATTGTGGTACCCACAAAAACCGATGCAATCTAGAGCCAATTTTTCAGCACCCTGTTAGTCTGCAGGGCCGCGAAGAACTTCCTGAAGGGTGGATCATTTAGCCATAAAACAAACATTCACCCCTCCCCCCCAACCAAATTTTGCAGAGTTTCAATCGGCCATTTGCTGGACATCATTTTCTGGTTGAGTCCGGAATCTGTTCAACCATCGTTCTTTCAAAAACCAGCTGTTCCTTTAAGCTTTTCCATGGCTTCCTGAAAACAAGGATTCGTGGAAAGAATGGGCATGGACGCCTCCAGTAGAAGTTTCGGGGCTTGTCTGTCCAGCTCTGAGATGCCAGGTGTCTGTGGCCCAGTTCCTGGGCGGCTTCACGGGTGCGGAGGTGCTGCGGATGCAGAAGGCGGAGGGCATCGCTGAGATCACGGAGCCTGGCGCGACCACGCGGCAGCTGGCGACTCGGGCGCATGGCAGCCGTGGTGTGTAGTGGGCGCAGAGATGTAATTTTTTGGTCGGTGGTGTCGTGGACACTTCGCAAGAGAGCCGTCAGCGTTTGGAGGATCTCAGGGTCCATCTGGGATACTCCGCGAAGACTTCTCACACATGCCAGCCCAAAGAAGGGGTTGCCAAGGTCTTACTCTCTGAATGCCAATCTGACTCGGATTGCACATCCCGCTTTGGTGAGCGCTGCTTCCTGAGCACCTGTGACTTTGGGCAGCTGGGGCTTCCTCGGGCTGCAGCTTATGTCCACCCTTGGGAAATCATGGTTGAAACCCACAACGTTGGTTGGCAAAACAGGGGGAGTCGGATCATTCCAGGGTTTCTGAACGGTGGTTCCAAGGAATTTTGTGCATTCACAGTATTGACATGTTCTACCTTAGCCAGAAAGCATGCTAGCTTCAAGTGCACGCGACGGCCAGCTGGAGGGAACGAATTCAGAGGACTCCTCTCTGATTGATTTTGGGTGGACTCCCTCAATGATTATTGACAGAATACTCTGATTTGCTTGGTCAGAAACGGGGAGCAAATGTGGAAATGCGTCCATTGCGGCATATGGTCAAAAGACCCTTTCAACAGTTAGGATTCCCATCAAACGATGGCTATGACCCAGACATGGGGAGTTTTGACGCGCAAGGTGACCCAGGTTTTTGCCTTTCCGACTTTCTGCGAGGTTGTTTTGGGAGTAGAGGAAAAGAAGTCCGAAGGCGTCTCATTTTTAAAGGGGATTCACTCCAGGCCCTCCCCAATTTTTTGCCCCACGCGGCACCCAGACCCCAGGTGACCCTCATCGACTTCCCCGCCGACACGCCGCGTGTCTCGGAGCTCATCGCGCCCTCGGCGGAGCTGCCGGCGGCGGCCGCGGCAGCGCTGCTGCGGCGCGCGGAGGAAGCGGCGCAGGGGGCCAGTGGCGTGCTGCTGATGGGCACCTGGCCGCAGCTCGGTTGCGGAGTCTTGGGAGTCTTGGAGTCGTGTTTTTTTGTTTTGTTTTTTTTTGTTGGGGGGGGGGGGTTGGTGTTTTTCTGTGTGGGTGGGTGTTTTGCTTGGTGAGGCGAGGGAAGCCCAGGGATGTGGAAGGCCACCACTTTGGTGGGGTCTCTTGTTTTGACGCCTACCCTTTTTGCTATGGATGGGTGTTGGCAGTGGATGGTTTCCCAGCTGAAATGGTAGTGAAAAACAGGATGAACTACAAATTCCAACTGCAGCGCCTTGGATGACGTGCATCAAGAGCGGCCATGGCTTTCAGCCAGAACATGAGACCGTTAAGACAGTTGACCGAAGCATTCAGGTTTCCGTTTTGTTGGCAGTTGAGACCAACATTTGGGCAAGCCAGCAATTCAAGCCTCAAGCAACGTGTTCAGAAAACCAAGCATGCAGCCCTAACCGATACCCAAAACCATTCCTTTAAGTGTCCAAACTGTCCGAGGGTTGCGATTGGGTCTAGAGAGGGGGGTGTCCCCTCTTCACACTTCAGCCCGTTTGGGTGGCCGATTTGAGAGTGGCTCCGCAGCTTTACCATTGAGGGGAAATCAGGATTTTGGAGGAATCGACCCCCTCCCCGGACTTGATTCACCTAGGTTTGGTTACCATGTTAGTACACAAACACCTCTGCCTCCCTTTGGTTTTTCCTTTGCCTTGGCGTTCCAGCGTTCCAAAGCGGAACTTGAGGGTGTGGCCCCCTCCCATGCCTATAGCGTATGGCAAGGCAAAAACCTTGCGGCAGTTGCCAGAGGCTGGGCCAGTCTCCAGGAGCGGCGTGGACCGGGACTTCTACCTCCGCGTGGCCCGGGCCGCGCGAACCGCGGCGGCCGACTCGGCGTGGGTGCTGCTGGATGCCGCGAAGCCCATCGAGGTGGCATCGGTAGATGGGGAGACTTCACGCCAGAAGGGGTGAAGTATAACCACCAAATTCACGACCGAGAACAAAACCCCCAAATGGTGGGTTTAGGGGGGAATAGCCCCCCAACCACCTTTCAGGTTGGTGAATATCTTGGAAGTCGCGGAAACTAAAAAAACTTCACCCTTTGGCAGGTGTAAAGGAGTTTTTTTTGGTGCTGTTCCTGTGTTTTAGTAGGGGGGCTGCCCAAAAACACAGTTGTTTTTTTCCATCCCTATCGAGGATCGGAAGGCCAACATTTGGGTTTGGAGGTTAGGAGGTGGGGAAACAGAGGTTCAAATCTTCAATTCCCACCAATCGAAATCACCAATTAGGGGCTATTTGTTTGAACAAGAAACGGCCCCGTCTTAGACATGTTTGTTTTCTCCTTCTTAGATTCTTTAGACCTGTATGTTGCGGTGCTGCGGTCATTTCGGGCTTAAGCACGAGGAAGTGGGCGGGAGCTTCGGCGCAGGATGTGCGATTCCTCCTCGAGGCTGGGGACGTGGACATCTACAAGGCAGGACTTTCAGGCGCCCTTTGGGCTTGGTTTCTGAAGGGGGTCCTCCAGTAGAGCCCTTTGACCGTTCCTTTTTTTCCGGTTGGGAGGGTGGCCCTTCAATGGGCTGCAGGAAAAAGTGGGTACCCTTAAATTCTAACCTCTCTACTGGGGCACCTAGAGGGGATGCCCACGTGAGAGTTACGTGATGTTGGATCCTCCCTGAGCATCAATAGTAGGCACTGTGTTGTGGCGATCTCTAAGAAGAGTCTGAGGAACTCCTTGTCTCCTGGTGTCAATTGTCTAGTGAACATACTTTTGGGGTCGTGTCCCTTTCAACGACCATTGAGAAGGTAAACTCGATGCCACAAGGACCTAGTTCCCACCTGACGATAATTTGTGTTATTGGACCCTTTTCCGGGCTCATCTTAATGGGCCAGTTTGGGATCTCATGTGAGTTGGTTGATTCTACTTTTATCAAAAGGCCTATGACACCTTAAAAGCATCAGCAGATCCACAAGTCAACTGCTTGGGGGTGTACTTTCGTAAGGAACTAGGTGCAACAACCAAAACCGGACCAACACATCAGTCTGTTCTTTCAGGGTTCCGTTTTTTGACAACCCCCAAGTCGACTCAGTCGTGGTTGATTTCCCCAAAAGGGTTTTTTTGGGTTTAAGTCTACCTTGGGGTAGTCAAAAAACGGAACCCTGTGTTCTTTGTTCCTCCCCAAGTTTCAGCGGGTTGGACACCCATTAGGTGAACGCCATGGAGCTTTGCGCGCTCATGGGCGCAAACGTCTCCAAAGAGGGGGAGGCGCCATGCCATGCCACGATGCCACGCAAGGGTTCCTTTGGCCATTTCCAACTTTCAAGGGAACCTCCAAAAGTGGAAATGGATTGATTCAATGGAACCCTCCGATAACTACATCAACTTTTGATTTGCGGCAGATTTGCGTGTGTCCTGTTTGCCAGACTCAAGCGGACAACGATATGTTTGACATGTTTGCCCTTTGCTCACGTTTTCCGAACCGTGTTCTACTCCAAGCAATAAGCAGCACGCTCAAGAATGAGCTACTGCAAAATGATGTTCAATTTACCCATGAAGGGAAACCCAAATTTGGGATTGGGATTGGTTTCCCCCATGTATTTTCAGGTAACCCCGACTTGGTGGTTTGGCTTTTGGATTTGGATTTGAAGCCCTGCATCTTGTGGGTAAATGGGTGTCCCTTACTCTATTTTTAGGATTTGGACCCGTAGCCAACCACAAGGGGACGCACACCCAAATGGCGGTTGATCAGAGGGTCCTTTACATGGGCTGTCCATTGGTTGGAAAGCCACTAAAAATCGATATTTCCCGCCTAAAAGAAACTCATGGGCATTTGGCCGAAGGGAACATTGATCCACCATTTCATTGGGTGTGTCTAGTTCTTTGAGGCTACCCCTTGTTTTGTGGGTCTTAAAGGAAAACCCAAATGGGGGTGTCTCTTAAAGTAGGTGGACCCCAATCCTGGGTGGTTTTCCTTTTGATTCCTTTGACAACCACCCCAAAAAGGGGAACCCCTCACAACAAAGGCGCACCCATTATTGTCCGCCCATGTTGGTTCTGTAGGGTCAACCCGAAGGGTCCGCGAGTTCTGTACCGCCCAAATGAGTCACAATCAAAACCCGGGCAGATGAAGGTTAGTAAGGGACAATCCCAACCATAAATAGCTGCGGATATCCGCCTTCTTAATTCTTTACATAGTTCTGGGTTTACGACCATTTTTGTACCGGGTTTTGATGACTCCGTGAGCGAGACAGTTCTTGATACTGGTAGCACTGGGTTTTGATGACTCAAACTGGGTACCAACGAGGGCTCCACTGCGCCTGAGATCTGAGGTGTCCCAGGACCAAGTCCTGGAGGCCATGCAGCAAGCGCTCCTCGGAGAGATGTCTCTGTCTTTGCCGCTGCCGGCCGCCGGCCTCGTCTTTTCCGGAAGGGTTTAGGGGTGTCTCCGTTGTTCCGGAAGGAACTAGTTACCCCCAAAATGTTCAAAACCAGATACCCCCTAACGCCCCCCAAAGTCAGAGGAGACCCCCAAATGTCGATGTCTGATGGTTTCCCTGTGAAACCAACAGGTACCCTCCAAAAAAAACAGAGGAGACCAGGAGACCCAAATGGATTTCTGATGGGTAAATTCAACAGTCAGAGGAGACACCCCAACTTCCAGATTTCTGGTGGTCTCCCTGTGAACCACCCAAAACAAGCAAGAGGTGCCCTCAAGAAGTCAGAGGAGACGCACATGCTGCTTGCGGAAAATGGCCCGTGATGCCCAGGCCTCTTTTGGATTTTGGGGGGGAAGCCACAAGAAGAAACCCGGGGAGCGGAAGCGGAAGGAGAAAAGCTCCAGGGTGAGCTGCTCAAAAAAACTGAGTGGCTGCAAAAGAGGCCATGGGAAGACATGGGAAGACATGACCCCGTGGTTTGGTTGACATATTGTTTGAAGGCCGCTTCAAGTCTTTCATGCGGCCGCACTGAGAATCCCAAATGGGCTCAGGGTACCCTTTTTGGTTGGTATTCAAGAAAAGGGCCAAAGATATGTTTCCTATCTGGAAAATTTGTTCCAACCCAAGGGCCTGTTGAGAGAGCCTGTTGTTTTTTTCCGCCTGGTGCGCGTGTGCCCACGCGCTCTCGAGGTTTGAGCGCTTTCCCGGAGTGAAGCACTTGGCCATCACAGACCCTTGGCCAAGTTGAGCGCGGGATCACTCCTCCATCTGGGTATGTGTCAAAGTGGCGGGCGGTGGCTTTCTTCCAAAAAAAGTATGTGCCCTTGAAACCCAACCAAAAATCGGGCGCCCCCCCCCCCAAAAAAAAAGACACCACAGACAGCTCCCCCCAAAAAAAACACACACTTGAACTCCAGATGGAGAGTGCTAATCTTTCGAGTACAACTGATGAGTCTCGAGTACAACTGATGAGTCTCGGCTGAGTTCGGCTTGCAAGTCACTCGGCTTCTCTCTAGAGGCGAAAACGTTACCCGAAAGAACAAGAAGCACAAACAGCGCCGCAACCAAGGGGGCCAAAAGGACAGCAACATCACTTTACACATGCAGGTACGCTGGGATGATCAGTCCCAGTATCACCACCGATGGCAAGTGTCTTCGTTGGCAGGAGACTTGCCATGGTGCTCCTGCCCCCTGCTGCAGCGGAAAAAGGTTTTGGTGGCAGGGTTTTCTGCCACTCCGCACACACACGCCCCTCTATGAGGGGCGAGGTTTCTCTTTTCCTGCAGGAAGATCACATGCTCCAACTCGAATCTCTATCGTTGACCAAAATATCCACCACGGCGAGGGGAGCGAGACACAGCCCTAAACCGCTCAGAAGACGGGAACGAGAGATCACCACGTTGAGCGTTGCGAGTGTCGCCATAGAGGACTGAAGCGATTTGCGAAGCAGCCTGGCGATCACCATGAGAAAACGGAGTGGCGTAGGTGAACGTCTCCTCAACTGGAACGGCATCGGAGTTCCGAACTTGACCAAGAGATTGATCATGCGGATGATGAGTTGCGAAGGACTCCATCCGAGACAGAATGCGCTGGTATTCTTGATGTTGCCAGTCACGGATGTCCCATGCCTGGACAGGCTCATTGGGATCAGTCACCCGCTGCCATTCCCGAAAAGAATTTTCAGGTAGATCAGGTACGGCGTCACCGCGGTGCCATCGTTGAGGCTGTCCTGGAGTGTATATCCGCACCCACTCCTGTTCCTGCCAGACCGAATATTCGAGCCATGGGTGCTGCTTCGAATCATCGATGTCCATGTCGAAGTGAGAGGCAAGGATTGTCGCGGGCTCCGATCCAGCTAATAGAAGAACAGGCACCATGCACAACCATGTTCAAACAACAACCAAGCAAGATCATGCAAGTGTAGAGACCACCCTTATTTTGTACGCTGCGCCACTCATGCGAGTCTAGTCCTCAGTCAGCTCGAAGATGGGACTCGCCTTGTCCGTGCCGTTGTCGGAAGGATTCACGGGCCGGTAGGGCTCGGAGACCCCAATCGTCTCCGATGGTGTGTTTCCACGCGATGCACGTACTGGTTGATGAGGTTGGGAAGCTTGACGTGCGCGAGCTGTCAGTTGTTGAGAAATCCCCTCCTGGAGACGAGTCAGCTCTTCGGTAGAGAAATCAGCCGCATCCGAGGACCTGAGAATCGCGTCTAACAGCTCCGGTGACATACTCAATGCCGCAGACTGCGTGGCCACGCTGTGATGATCAGGAAAATACATGGAATCAAATTCATGACCAGCGTGAGGGGCAGCGACTCTCCGATAGCCCTCTGTGGCCCAGTCTCGTTTGTACCACGTGGTGACTTGGACCTGCCCACCGACTGAGTCCTGGTTGGGAGCATAGAACTCCCTCCATTCTCTAAAAGTATGCGGAGGAGGTGGAGCATCATGTTCTTCATGTGGTGTCCATGGTCCCGGATGAAAGATCTTGACCCACTGGGCATCTGGTTGTTGAGGGTCCGGACACCATTCCAGCCACGCCATGACAACGCAACCACGGAAAGACAAATTGATAGGTGTACGGCTGCAGACAAAAATGAGTGCAAGCGAAACAACAATCACAATGCAAAAGACCACTTTTGCAGCACTGCGCGGCTCCAGCATCGAAGACAATCTCCCGAATCGAATTGAACTGAACAAACTCCCCAGGAAGGCGAGGACGGGCATCAGCCATCATGTGAATTGGATGATGCCGAGGAGGAGGTCAGTCCAGCATACATGAGGTCCGGTGCGCCCGAAGCGAAGACTGGCCTCGCGATGCTGGGGCGTGGACGACCCAGACGTTGGTATCCCCTGGTGACCCAGTCCCTGTAGTACCAAGTATAGAAGGTTGCATAGGGGTGGTGCCGCCCGTACTTTCCCTAGGCCAATACACTTCGAAGTGGTGGACCTTGCGCCATTCCCGATAGGTGGTTGAGTCATCCGGGGTCGGTCCCAGGGTGTTCGCGGCGACTGGATGCCACTGACCCGGTACATAGATCCGAATCCATTCCACACTCGTATTTGCTGGCCCATTGACGATGTCGTAGTCAAAATAGCGAGGTAGGACCCATCGTGCTGCACCATGCACTGTACTATTGAACATTTCAACCCGGCAAGCCGCTCAAAGCCATAAAGGAAAGCGGCGAACAAATAGAGACGGAATGTACACCACCAAGCAAGACAACCCAACGTGGACTCACATACAAAGCAAGCACAACCGCATCTTTATCCGACATGCTACTCAAGTGTCACTCCGAATCATTCCAAGGATCATGGAATGGTGGCGGTGACGGCTCCCGCCACGCCCCATCCGGTACCGATGAGCCCACCGAGGAATCGACGTCTGCATTGACGAGCATCGCGAATCCGATGGATTGTACAGGAGCTCCAAGTCGTTGATACCCTCGTGTTTGCCAGTCTCGGTACTCCCACACGTGGTAAGACACATAGGAACTGGGCGTGACTATGGGATCCGTTGTGGTGCCTCCGGTGCTGTCATCAGACCAGTACACTTGGAAGTGATATGATCTGCGCCACTCCCGATACGTGGAAGCGTGGAGTGGGTCAGGAACTGGAGCATCATCGGGAACGGGTCTCCAAATGCCCGGAGAGTAAATTCGAATCCATTCCACTCCTCTATCGATCTGGTACTCGAAATACTGGGGGTTCATAGCGGCAAGACAGGCTCTCGCGCGACAGCTAAAACCAGTCGAAAGTCTGCGGCAAAGACACACATGCATTGCAAACCGCGCACATCCGCTGGAGAATGAGGCAACTTTTCAAACTCAAGGTGAAACACAGCAACTAGGTCTGGAATGTCCGACTCCTAGGTTTCACTGTCGTTGATGTCGCGCACACCTGCAATGATAGTGTCCTGGTCGTCTACGAGCACAAGGGGAAAGACATTTCCGCCCATGGCGCAGGATGGCATGACAGTAGTGTTTGCAAGTTGCCGATGGGGACAGCGATGGACGGCCAGCACGTTTGGAGGGGAACACTGTAAAGGGCCGTCGAGATCGCCGCGGCGCTGAAGCGGATGCTGTCCGAGATCGTTTGGATGAGCGCCCCGGACTACGTGGTTGTTCATCACGGGAATGGTCAGTGCTGTAGATCGAGCGGCGTGTGCGCTGCGATTTCGAAGAGGTAGGGCAGGATTGTCCGCGAGGGGCTGAGATCGAGGGGCTGCGTACCGAGGGCATAAACTGTGGGTGTAGAATCACCGGTGGTGGTGGTGGTGGTGGAGGAGGAGGTGGAAGAAGCAATGGGAAAGTTGGCGGGGGCGGAGGCGACGTAGTCTGCCGAATGGGTCTGTCGAGTAAAGCCCCGGGTCCATGAAATTGTAACCACGTCGGCTGTGCTCCATGGGTCCAGGTGATGTACGTCTGTACAACTTGTTCCGACATGATTTGAGCAACTCAGTCATGACTTCACTTCATGTCGACGGCATCAAGCAAAAGTAAGTCACGTGCAAGCAAGCAAATATCATGTGATCAACAACAAGAGCCGAACACGCCGCCACGGCCTACCATTTAGTCCTCCGATGGTCGCTGCTGCATTTGACGACCGCGTTCCTAGCCGCGAGCCTCAAGTTGTTGATAGACCTTCCATGCCTGCTTGACTTCCTCAATCGGCTTCTGAAGAAACCGAGCAATGGTCTTATAGGTGGGCCTGGAATCTTTGTCTTTCTTCCGTCGCACCATCTCATCCAGCTCACCCTGTGTCCATGCCGTGAAAGGTTCACGGTATGCATTACGAAGTGCAATGGTGAATTCTTGTAGAAGTTCCCGAGGACCATGAACCACCGTAGGCGACGGCCGGAATGACGAAGCACCTGGATGCGGACGTACCGAGCCATCAGAATCCGAATCAGGTGTCGTAGGCGACGTCTGTCCTGGCTCTCGGCCACCGTGTGTGGCGAAGGGAGCAAGTGGACGAGGCGGTGGCAGTCGATCCAACATCGAAACATCGATTCGGGCCGAGTACCAGGATTGTGGTCACTAGCATCCCGATGTGCCGCTCGAGGCGGGGATAAGGCCGGTATGTACCAGGTAGATGACGTGTCCACAGGTCGAGCCCGAATTCGTGTGGGAGAACGGGATCTGTCAGACGAGGCGCGCTCCGTGATGATGCGGGGCCGCAACCCATGTCTGGAGTTTCTTGGTGCTCTCGGGGTCACCACAGTGTCTGACGGATGGCTACGCTCAGTCATCAGGGCAAAGTTCAGGGTGTCCAGAGCTGTCGCAACTTGGGATGCAAGGACATTGAGTACCGCCACCAGGTTATTCACAAACTCAGCTGACAACTGCATGGCAACCAATCAAACCGCAAGGTCAACTCAAAGCTGTAAAGCTGCGGCATGGCAAAGATATGGTGCATGCAAACATGAATGTAGCAAATGCTGAGGTACTTTTATCGCTGGTGCTCCGTCACCGTTCATACGACAGACCTGATGGTCGGCAAGCTGGCATGGCCTTGACCGCCGGTGGATACTTCGGAGTGTAAGCATGGCGGCGGGACGTGGGAACCACATCATCTGGACGGTCTGGGAGCCGTCGGTGATGGCTGCGGGATCGTCTCCGGTGCGGCTCTCGATGCCTAGATCTTCGCCTTCGTCTGTGTTCCCAGGAGGTGCTGACACTCACCGTGCGTACGTGAGCAGGGTGCTCCGCACGGTTGTCCGAGGTGG